AAAAAACGCCGTCATGTTCGTTTGAATATATCTGGGAATTTCTAAAGAACCTTGCCTAAAGGGGACAGGAAATGAGCGTGAGAAACTGAAAAATAAAATATAAAAATCCTAGATAATTAGGTACATTTCCATATTTAATGTTTTTTTAAAATTTAAAATTTTATATTTACTGTATATAACATATCGTAAATATATAAATTATTACAATTTTAATATAAATTTATGAAAATAAAAATAATTTACTTACGATAGTTTAAATAATTAAACTGATGTGAATCATATAAAGGAGATATTTTAAAACTGAATTTATATATTTTCTCCTAGAAAATATATTAATTCAATATGATTTGTATTGAATATTAAAAAAGAATTATAAAATACATAATAATGTTTTAAACTATATAATTGTAGTGCAAATTATAGAAAATGTTGCTTTAGTAAATAAATAATTATTATTATTGATTAAATTTAATAGCTAAATAAGGTGTGTTTCAAATTTATACGGACACGAAAAAATTAAAGTGAAACCCAAATTTGCTGCATTAAGTGACAAATGTTTTATTAAAAATAGCATGGATTTACTTGTTTCCACACTGCAAAATAAGAATTTTAATCAAACATTAACATTTTGTCACTGAAAATAATATTTTTGAAAATTTTGTACAAAAAAACTGTTACATATTTATCCGGACAGGCACTTATTTCATGAATTAAATAGAATATTGTTTAGTTTCAAGCATTGAAATATACAAATCAGCTTACATATCTAATTGTAATACAAATTCTTTATGTTGTTCAACGTTCTAAAATGGGTAGAACAAAGAATTTATCTGATTATGAAAAAGAGCAGATTGATGCCTATAAATCACAAGGCAAGTCAATAAGAGAAATTGCAGCATATATAAATCGTCCAAAATCAACTGTTGGTGATTATTTATCAAAAAGACGTGGCAAGGATGTACCAAAATTCAAGACAGGTCCAAAACCCAAGCTTACTCCTCGAGATTGTAGACAAATCATCAAGGTTTGCTCCACAAAACAAACATCAGTAAGAAAAATAAAACAAGAATTAGACTTGCCTTGTAGCAGCACAACAGTGTGGAGAGTTTTAAATAAATCTCCAATGTTAAAATTCAGAAAAAAAGCTGTAATGCCACCACTTTCATTAAAGCACAAAAGTGACAGACTTGATTGGGCACAAAAACACATGACATGGTCCGAAGAATGGATTGAAGTTTTGTTCAGTGATGAAAAAAAATTCAACTTAGATGGTCCAGACGGTTGGAAGTATTATTGGCACGATTTAAGAACCGAAAAACAAATATTTTCAAAACGCCAAATGGGTGGGGGATCAATAATGGTGTGGGGTGCGTTTGGATTCAACGGAACCACAGATTTAGCATTTATAACTCAAAGAATGAATTCAAAGAAGTATCAAGGCATGCTTGAAGATCATTTATTGGAAGCTGGACCAAATATTTGTGGACCAAATTGGATCTTTCAACAAGACAATGCCCCTGTGCATGCCTCTAAATCAACAAAAATGTGGTTTAAACGTAAAAATATTAATCTGATGACATGGCCTGCTAGAAGCCCTGACCTGAATCCGATGGAAAATCTTTGGGGGATGATGGTTCGTACAGTTTATGCCAATGGAAAGCAGTTTTCCACAATTCATGATTTGAAGGCAGCAATTTCAGATGCTTGGGATAAACTTAAGATTGAATTCCTTCAGAATCTAATTGAAACAATGCCTAATCGAGTATTTAATGTAATTAAGTTAAATGGTGGTTACATTGGCCATTAAATTGTAAGAAAACTTTGCAATTTGAAACCTGTCCGGATAAATATGTAACAGTTTTTTTGTATAAGAGTTTCATAAACATTATTTTCAGTGACAAAATGTTAATGTTTGATTAAAATTCTTATTTTGCAGTGTGGAAACAAGTAAATCCATGCTATTTTTAATAAAACATTTGTCACTTAATGCAGCAAATTTGGGTTTCACTTTAATTTTTTCGTGTCAGTATAAATTTGAAACACACCTTATTGATCTCAGATATTGATTAATAATAAAACACATTTTGCTAGTTTGTATATAATAATAGAATAATTTCTTCAGCTGATTGTGTATGTGTTTTCACTCATCTCTGCTATAGTTTAAAGAACAAAGGAAAAAACAAATCAATTTTTAAACATTTGGAGTTGTTAAAGAACATTTTTTTAGTTCAATAATTTACAGGCTTAAGATTTTAAGAAAGCTCCAGAGTACAATATAATTAAGGATTAATATAAGGAAAAATACTTGACACAAGCACTGTTATGAACAAGATAAAGATAGAATGTGGTGATACAATCTATTGTAAAACTATTAGGACAGATAAGCTATAAAATATTACATATTTATAAGGATTAATATGATTTTCTCACTTCTACTACTAATAGTATGATTGAGGAAGTCCCAATAAATTGAATTTTATTGGTTTAACTCAAAAAAATAAACAAAGAAAATGCCATACTCTATACTTTCATAAAAATAAATAAATTTCTCATTAAATTTATTTCAATTTAAAACAAGTTTTAAAAGGAAATAAGGAATTCTTTTTGATTTTTAATAAGGTTAGAAAGATCCATATTAACTCACAAATAAAATTATATCATCAGCTACTGGTTTACAAGAAATGCTTAAATTTGATGTTTAAAAGAATATACTTTAAAACTTCACATATTTCATAATATGATGAAGAAACATTATAGCAATTCATTATTATTTATATTGTACTTTGAAAATGCTTTAAAAGGAATTATGATTAATCTGTTCTGAATGCAAAATATAAAAAAAAAAATCTTTATATTTTATACAAAAATATCATTTTTCAACAGCAGCTCTTTGACCATTCCAAAACTTCTTAATCCATTAATTAATTTAGTAATCTGCTTTTAGAGATAATATAACACTTCTAATAAGAAGTTATAACATTATTATTATTTAAATAACTTTATCCATAAAATTTCCATTTGTTTTTTTCCTTATTTTACAAATGAATTCAAAATAAAACCATCTTTCATGCATGGTAGAAAATATACACATCAATAGTCATGTATAGAATCTATATTCATAAAACTTCAAAGTAAGATAATTTAACAACAGCAACCAATAATAATTTGTCTTTTTATAAACTAAAAATGTATATGTAGATATAATATACTTTTATATTGTATATGTAGATATAATAAGACTTTTTGTTCAGCTTTCCCTAGGTATCTCTCTTGAAATGCTCNAATATAATTAAGGATTAATATAAGGAAAAATACTTGACACAAGCACTGTTATGAACAAGATAAAGATAGAATGTGGTGATACAATCTATTGTAAAACTATTAGGACAGATAAGCTATAAAATATTACATATTTATAAGGATTAATATGATTTTCTCACTTCTACTACTAATAGTATGATTGAGGAAGTCCCAATAAATTGAATTTTATTGATTTAACTCAAAAAAATAAACAAAGAAAATGCCATACTCTATACTTTCATAAAAATAAATAAATTTCTCATTAAATTTATTTCAATTTAAAACAAGTTTTAAAAGGAAATAAGGAATTCTTTTTGATTTTTAATAAGGTTAGAAAGATCCATATTAACTCACAAATAAAATTATATCATCAGCTACTGGTTTACAAGAAATGCTTAAATTTGATGTTTAAAAGAATATACTTTAAAACTTCACATATTTCATAATATGATGAAGAAACATTATAGCAATTCATTATTATTTATATTGTACTTTGAAAATGCTTTAAAAGGAATTATGATTAATCTGTTCTGAATGCAAAATATAAAAAAAAAAATCTTTATATTTTATACAAAAATATCATTTTTCAACAGCAGCTCTTTGACCATTCCAAAACTTCTTAATCCATTAATTAATTTAGTAATCTGCTTTTAGAGATAATATAACACTTCTAATAAGAAGTTATAACATTATTATTATTTAAATAACTTTATCCATAAAATTTCCATTTGTTTTTTTCCTTATTTTACAAATGAATTCAAAATAAAACCATCTTTCATGCATGGTAGAAAATATACACATCAATAGTCATGTATAGAATCTATATTCATAAAACTTCAAAGTAAGATAATTTAACAACAGCAACCAATAATAATTTGTCTTTTTATAAACTAAAAATGTATATGTAGATATAATATACTTTTATATTGTATATGTAGATATAATAAGACTTTTTGTTCAGCTTTCCCTAGGTATCTCTCTTGAAATGCTCAGGTTTATAATGAAAGTAATAATATAAATGAAATTGATTTGTAATAAAATTTTGTTTTACTTTAATTATTCAATACAAATTTTTTTAAATGTTGAAAATAATTCAGTAACTGAGTAATATTAAACAGATATTTGGTGATAATTTCCAGAAAAATTATTAAAATCAATATTTTGCTTTAAAGTTTAGTAATAACTCTGAATTTTCTGCAAAATACTTTATTTCATTCAAATTACTATTTTAAAAAAAAATTATTATAAAAATTACTTCATTCAGGTCACTACTTTGAACTTTTTTAAATTTAACTCATTTATTTAAAAATGTTTATTATTTTAAAGTTGAAACTAATTGATTTCTAATGTTTTCTTTTTCAATCTTGAAATAATGTCAATTGCTTACTAAATTTTAAGAACAATTTCTTTAGCAATTCATCCACATACCTTTAATTAAAAACATTATTGTTTTAAGTTTACTGAATTATCAGTGGAATTGTTTGCACTTTTTGTAATATTTATCTGATTATTTTAAAATAGTTTGTTTAATTGTTCACAGAGTAAATTCATCAATTAAGTTTTATTATTAAAAAAATTGCATATATAATTTCTTAAATAATTTAAACATTGAAAAAAATCAAATAATTCTTAAATACAAAACTGAATTTTATTCTTTTAATCACTAAGATCCAGTTTATACAGTAATAAATTTATGCATAATTTTTAGATTGTTCTTTTTTAAATCTTTATATTCCCAAATTTTAAAAATTATATTTATATAAATTAGGCACATAAATACTTTTAAACAAAAAAATAAAATCAATGAAAAAATGTTGTCTTCCTTTCTGAATTGTAATGTTATGATTTGTTTTTGAAATCACCAGTTATCTTCTTCTTCAAATAATTTTTTTGTATTCTGTTCTTTGTTCTGTGTTAGTTCCATTTCAACAGTTGATTCATCTCGTTTAGGAATTTTACTTTGGGGTTCTAAAATAAGAAAAGAATATATATATATAAACAAAATATTAAGAGAAATAGAAATGTTAATTAAATATTTTTCTAATAATTAAAATACACTAATTTTTATATGATAACTGACTATTTCTCTAACAAAGCAAAGCCTTTTGTTATCTTTGAAATACATCATAAACATCAAAAAAATATTTTTAGAATATAGAATTTATTTATTTATTGAATAAATATTATAGAATAAATTGTATAATAAGTTGTACATTTTCATTTCTATTTAATGCCATAACTTCTTCAAATTTAAAGGAGCCATAAAGCAATTTTTTTTCATGTATTTATAGAAAGTATTTTTAAATTAGACAGTTGAAAGCTAATTATATTGCACTCATAAAGAATGTTAAAAATTTTTTAAATTAATTCCTGATTTTTCTCTTTANGTAAAACCAATAACTTTTCAACTGATCACTTATTTCAAAAATGTCAAAGTCTTTCAAAAATATGTGAAACTTTTAACATCTCCCGAATACTCCAAAATGACTCATCTCAAGATTATAGAAATACTTTAAATAGTCTGAATAAAAAAGATCTCTACAGTCTGTATAACTTTTTCACTAAAATTACAAAAATGTTGTAAATCTACACCAGTATATTAAACTACCAATATTGTACATCTGATTATTAATGTAAATAATATTATTGTAACTATCAAATTGTTTAATACTAATATCCTATATATTTTGTAAATATTGTAAAAATTTTATAATATCTATTTGTATAACCCCCTGCAACAGGGACACTTCCCTTTATGCTAATAAAGATTATTATTATTATAATTTTAACAAATATCTCTACATAATATCAATATATTCACTCAAAAACAAATTCACTCAAACAAATAAATTTGTTTCTGAAGTTCTATCAAACTTTCTCTTACGTGAAATAAACACTAACTTACTATTTTACCATGTTTTTGATTGCTTTTTATATTTTTTATTATTTCAATTTAGAAATGATTATTATTCATCTTTTATAAAGAATAAATCTCACAAGCAAATGTTGTCAATTGTCAAATGTTTTTATTTTATTGTCTTCAAGATTTTATGAAACAGAATAAAATAGATATTCAAAGGAGAAATTGGGTTAGAAATAAGCATTAAAACACCAGAATAGAATTAAATATACACATTTAACTTATTTATTAAATTGTTTTAAAAATTTTATTACATACATATTATTTTATTTTTCATGTTTATCTGTGTCAGTTTATATACTGTACATTTTATTATAATTATTCATTTGTTTTACAATTCATTATTATCAATTAAATATTATATTTTATCTTTAGCTAAAAAATAATATACATTTGCAATTTATATTACTTTTCAAAGTACTTATGTATGTTTTAATTATTTATTTAATTTTAATTTATAATAGTATTTACAAACATTTCAAAAATTTAAGATCTACTATTCTATGCATGGCTAACCGTCATTCTTTCTAATGTTGTGTCTGCATTTTAAAAATTTTGGATAATGATTTACTTTCGTGTTCACAATGTTTGAAAAATGCTCATTTTTACTGTTATGGAGTTGGTTGTGCTACTTTTCATAAATTTAGTAAAACTTATAAAAAAAATTGGAAATGCGGATCCTGTAGACCAGTGAAAACTTCAAAAGAAAATGCAAATTCAATTTTGGAATTGGGACAAGAAGAAGAATTAGGTGAGTCAACTCACTTTATTTCTCATTTTAAACAACACACTGACCGATTGAAATAATAAGCAAAGTAACTTCTTGCTCACTCCAACGACACCCAAGCTAATTGAGACAACCCAGTTTGACAAACTATTTTTAGAAATTAAACAAATTTATGGAGGTATGGAAAATATAAATCAAACAAATAAAAGTATAAAGGAATAGATTCAATTTTTATCAGATAAATTTGATAAAATTAATGACCGTCTTTGGAGATTAACAATAAAAGGTTTTCAGTTGAAATTGCAGATTTAAAACAAGAAAATTCTATATTGAAATGAGAATTAAATAAAACACACGAAAAATTAAGGTTTATGGAGCAAGATGTTAATAATTCAAGTTTAGAAATTGTTGTACTTCCTACTCTGTTAAATGAAAATTTAACTGATATTGTTTGTAAAGTTATGACATTTGTGGATGATACATTTGATAAATTATCTATTGTAAATTGCTACAGGCCTAGGTCTCTTCCAAGTGAAAGAAATTCATCGTCATGCAAGACAAAGCTGATTGTAGTGAAATTGGCTAATGTTACTACGAAGCAAAAAATTATTGATAAAATTAAAGAGAATAAATTAAAAATTACCTCTAGTGCATGTAATATAATTAATGAAGAATATAAAATTTATATAAATGATCATCTTACAGCATATGATAGAAATCTTTTTTATAAAACTAGGGTTTTAAAGAAGGAGGGGAAAATACTAAATACTTGGACCAAAAATGGTATAATTTACAGAAAGATTAATGCAACTTCTCCAACTTTACGAGTGTTTACGTTAAGGTATATTGAGAGTTTATTTCATGATGGAAGTTCTATTAGATATTAATAAGATAACTAATTTTGAAAGGGATGGACTTTATGTATTTTATAGTAATGTAAGATGCTTAAATAACAAATATCAGGAGATCAATTACATTATTTCTGGTTATGATTGTAACTTTGGTATCCTGGCTTTTTGTGAAACATGGACTAATGAAACTCACCCTCCGTTTAAAATAAATAATTTTAATATGGAAAAAATTGAAAGACAACCAAACCAACATGGAGACATAGTTTTGTTTACAAATAAGGATTTGGTTTATGAGGTAATACCTGATTTGACATTTACTAAAGAGTACATAGATGTGATGACAATTGCTATTAATAAAGTTCTGATTGTAGTTATTTACCAATCTCCAGCTTCAAACTACAGTTTATTTTTTGATGTAGTAAATTCTATAATTCACTTTAAAATTACTAAATTAAGGAATTATAAATTACTTATTATCGGCAATCTTAATATAGATTTACTTAAAGACTCTTCAGTAAGTACTTGTGACTTGTTAAACTTTTGTTTGTCAGAAAATTTATCACTTTTGGCTGATCGGAGGCAACCAAACAGATTTGATAAAGACACTCACTCCTTGATTGACTTCGCATTAACCAATATAAGTGAGTCAGAATTTTTAATTCATCAGGACTTATTGTCAAATCATACACCTATAGTTTTCTTTCTCCCAAGGAAAGATATGGAAATGGGTGGTAAATTGCTAAAAACATGTAGAAAAATAAATAATTCATCAATACATCTTTTACGTATTGCACTGTCAGCTTGTTTCACTTGGGATTATTATTATTCTGCAGATCTTTCTGTTGACTAATTGGTGGATTATTTTCAGGATATCCTGCAGATTTTCATTAATAAATACTTTCCTATAATAACACTAAATAAGAAAACCAAGATAAAGCAAAAGGTATTTTTGGCAAAAATTATTTCAAATGATACAAAAAAGTTAATTATCCAGAAGAAGAGGTTGTTTAAACAATTATGAGGTTGTATTTTAGGAGATTGACGTACTAAAATATTAACGGAATTGAGAGGGCTATCCAAGGATATTAGATATAAAATTAAGCAAGAAGAGGAAGATTACTATGACAGACAATTCTCTAATATATGTTCCTCTATGGAATTTTGGCAAGAGATTAAACATCTACCTATCGAAGTAGTTAAAACACAGGATAACGCACAAATTAATCAGTTGAAACATAATGGTAAAGTTTTTCAAAATGAAGAAAAAATAAGTAATATATTTGCTGAACACTATAGACAAATGGGAGGCTTTGTCACATCAACATTAAAAAATAATTTTTTCTCACATTCCTCTTCATGCGGTATACTCGACTCTTGTTTTGAAAGAGACTTCTCCTAAAGAGATTTTTGATTACATTATGAGTGTAAAAGCAAATACTCCAGACATTGATAAGTTAAATATATTTATTTTAAGACAAATAGCAGATATAATTGCTTTACCATTATCTTACTTAATTAATAAATCCTTCGAGCGTGGGCGGTTTCTGGAGAAGCTTAAACACAATCTCGTAATCCCAATATTTAAAAATAAAGGATCTAAACAGAACTTGGAGAGCTATCGTCCAATTACTATTATTCAGAGTATAACTAAAATAATTGAAAAGGTTTTCTATAGTAGATTTTTTGAATTCATCAATAAAAATAAAATTATATGTAAAAATCAGTATGGTTTTAAAAGAGAGGCCTCAACAATTGATGCTTTGACTCATCTTAAACAATATATTAGCACCAGTCTCGATAATGCAAATATTGTAATGGCGGTGTTTATCGATCTGACCAAGGCTTTTGATAGTGTAGATATTCAGATATTAAAACAAAAATTGTTTAAAGTTGGATTGAGAGGAGTGCCATTGGAATGGCTAATATCCTATTTATCAAATTGTACATACTATGTTAAGGTAAAAAATTCAATATCAAAACCTTTTCAAGTGAACAAAGGTGTACCATATGGATCCATTTTAGGCCCTCTACTTTTTAATATTTATATAAATGATATTGTAGAGACTATTCCCGAGAATAATAATATATTGTATGCAGATGATATTGTTATAACATATGCAGATTGGAATCTTCATTTGGTTGAAAATAATATAAATTCTTTGCTATCTAAATTAAGTAAGTACATGGAAAATAATAACTTAAGTGTAAATGAAAATAAAACAAAATATATTTGTTTATTAAATAAAAACAAAAAAGTTAATTTAGAAGATATACAAGTTAGAATAAATAATGAATGTATTCATAGAGTTAATACTGTAAAATATTTAGGTATCGAAATTGATGATAAATTATGATGGAATGATCATATAAATAATTTAACACTGTCTTTATCTAGATTTATTGGAATACTGAAAAGAATAATAAGTTTTTTAAATTTTGAGACTGTTTTGCGCTTATATCATGCTTCATGGAACCTAAACTTCGATATGGTATTTCCGTATGGGGTACAGCTTCTTCTTTTGTATTAATTAGGTTGCAAGTTATACAAAATAACTTTATAAGAGCATTATATAAGTTACCTTATGATTCTTCTGTCACTTCTTTTTATAACCAAATCAAAATTGATAAAATAAAAGCTTTATATAAAAGACAAGTTCTTCTAGAAAGTTTTAAACTAATAAAGGTGAGCAAGAAAGAATCTTATATAAGTGATGAATTAAATAAATACCTTAGGCCTTCTAACTACAACTATCGATGGAAAAATAATTTGATTCTACCAAAAGTTAAGCACTGTTTTGGACAAGATGCATCAATCTATCAACTTATATATAACTGGAATGCTTTAAAAGAAGAATACAGGCATACCTCGACTTACGTCGTTCCCGATTATACGTCGTTTGTCAAAAAAGTATATGGAAAAATAAAAATCAAGTTTAAGTCATTTTATTCGACTTTACGTCTGTCCACCACAAATATTGAAGTCGTAATATTACTAGAAAAGCGTTTAAAGCACATAAAATCATATTAAAATACATACTAGTATGTTCTGTATTTACAGTACATGCATTCGTAAATTTAGAATACTTTTTTCCGTACTATATTAAAAACTAAAATTTATTTGTTTGTAAGCTTAAAATAGATTTTTATTAATCATATATTATTAAAAATGCATTAAGAAATAAAATACAGAACCGGGAATGGTAATTTATGGTTTAGCCTAGTGACAAGTAGATTCGGAGACAAGTAAATTCGACTTACGTCGTTCTCCTGGAACCAATTACCGACGTAAGGCGAGTTATACCTGTACAAAGATTTGAGTACGTACGGGCAATTTAAACGGGCTGTAAAAATATTGAGCTGCGATTAGTTGTGTGTATTTTTATTTTATTATTATTGTCTCTCTTTTCTCTGTTCTTTTTTTTTGTTGTTTTGTTGACTGTATATTATTTATATGTCTGTATCTATAGTTTTTTTTTGGACCCTTGAAAAAGGCCAATGGTCATAGGGTCGTTTGGTTAAATAAATAAAACTGGTTAAAAATAAAATATGATGATCTAATTCTAACCATTTCAAATCAAACTGAACTTTAGAATCTTTCATTTAATCCCTTCTGTTAAATTTTGATGATGATATAAACATAATAAATCCTTGATTATTAGATCTGATTTTATTGCTCTTTTTACTTAACAGTTCAACAAAATCAACTTGTTAATTTTAAGTATTATAATATTATAATTATGATTTCAGTTAATTTACAGTGTTTGTAAAAAAACTCCTATAACAGAAGTTTATAATAAATAATTTACAAATATTAAACTACTATGATTTGAAATTTAACTAGATATTAATAGAAAATAAGATAAAATTTTTATAACTAAACAATTTGATTATTAAATAAAGTCCAGTTTAATTCTACATACTACATTGATAAATATTTTATGCATACATTTCATAAAAATATTTTGTTTATATTGTATAATTTTGAAATTATATAATTTACCAGAATCTGAAGATTTCGCCTCTTCATCTTCTTCAGGAATTGGATCAATAGTTCGTACGGATGATGTAATTCTAAAAATAAAATTATATATAGTATGAAAAGAAATAATTATGCAATTAAACCTAATCTAAATACACTTAAACAAAACTTGAAATATTTTAAGACTTTTTATTTCTTATAATAAGAACTGAAATACTATCTCTAACAATTAATAGTTACTCTTGAATAAATTCAATAGAAACTAAAAAATTAAAGGTTAAAATTTCACACATGGCTCATATGTTTTAACTAATATAAATTGCTCAAATTAAATCACTCATTCTTAGTCTTTAAAACTAATTTATGATTTAAACCTTTCAAAGAATTCAAGAAATTTGTTCCATTGTAAATTGCTGTTTTTTTTAAATCCTCAGAGTAGTAGTTATCATCATAATACCCTAAAGATTCTTGCATGACATTTCTAAATTAAAAACTTGAATTAGTCTCTTTTATTGTTTTTCATGTAGATAAAACTATATCAGAAAGAAGTTTTATTAAATTTACATTACAGGTTCCTTTCATGACCTTATGATTTATAAGGTTTCCACCTTCCATTCATTGGTTCTGAGATTAGTATGTCTATTTTAGCTGAATAAAATTAAATTTTAAATTAAAGATATTTGCTGTTTACATAATCATATGGCTTTTCCAAGAGTTTAAAAAACTAATGACAACAGCATAAGGATTGTCCTTACTCTTTTCATTTTTTACTTAAATGTGAGACCCAAGATTGAGTTTGAACCTAAAAAGGTTTATAAAGATTTGTATTAAAATAAAATAATAAAAGTGACATGGAGACAAACAAGCAAGTCCCAAACACAATGCCAAAAAGTATTTAGTTAACATATGTCAAGTCAGTGATGCCAAACTTTGACACTATCGCACATATACATTAGCTAGCAGTGAATTTGATCAGGAAAGGAGAAGATTTGACAAGCAAAAGACATAGAAAAAAGGGATATTAACATTAAAATTTATGATGTTTTACATCATAAAAGGAAATAACAAGTGAAAATACAAGTGCAAGTGTCTTAGTTCTATTGGCAATCCTGGCCAGACCTTTTTTGTGACCCGAACTGATCTCAATTTCTACCTGGAAACAATAGAGAGACCAATTGGGAGTGGGGAAAGAAAGCCCAGCCAATTAAAAGAAGAATTAGAAAGGAAACAGTCTATAAAACTCTGATATTCAAGGACACAGGGTTGGTTATCATCTTAATTGTCAATGGCGTCATCCTGCTCCTAGTGTCACCATCATATATCTCTCTCTCTCTCTCTCTCTCTCTCTCTCTCTGTGTCATTACCTTCCTTCCAAAGTTTCTACTACACCTTCTGGATTTAACTTGATCGAACCTGCATTAACTTGCTGCTGCCCCGTGCTGCTCAACTATCAAACCTTGTGGACTGAATCCAGCTTGACCAGAAATATTGAGACATTCATCTATTACCTGAAGGACTTGTCTACATTTAATGTAAGTGATTTTTGCTTAATAAACAGTTTTGTAAAGGCACTTGTATTTTCTGCCTCCTATGACACTACCCATATATGAAAGAGCCCCTAGGTTATCCTGATGAGGGATTAACGATTTCTCCTGTAGGTCAGTTTATCCATATAAATAAAACTAAAAGGATTCAGATATAGTATGTTATCTTAAAAAAAAAAAAAACAGGATTGTATTAAAGGATTATATACATCATCATCATTGTTAAAAAATATAAAAAAGGAATTTAAATTTAAACTAATGATAACTCAAGTATAGAAATATTCAAGAGATATAAAGTCTGGATGATTGTTCTAAAAGAATTGTATTTCAGAAAACCACCAAGATCACAGTGTTCCTGAATATATACATCTATAGCATGTGATGTAATAAACTTTCAACTATTTAACTTTAATAAATTTTAAAAGTATTATAAATATAAAGATTATTTGAATTTATGAAAGTTAATGTTCTTTAAACTTCAATATTATGATTTATTGTATATCATTAATTTCAGAACTGATAAATTTTATGAATTTGCTATGAATTTTGCTATATATGTTGATAATTCCTGATATAAATTTCATATTGTATAAATTAGTTTTGAAAACAGTTTTGCTCCTTTTAATTAAGGAATGAAGAATTTAAAAAATATGTTCATTTCCTTTTAAATAATATTTTTGTGATTTTAATGTTTCTGATACTGAATTTCATTTTATAACAGTAGAAAACTTTTAGAAATAATTAGCATTATTTTGTCAATTTATTCTATTAAATTAATATATTAACCAAATTACTTACTCTGCATTTCTGCTGCTTTTTTTTCTTTTAACAGGTAAATTTACATCAGAACATGGTAATGAAGAATCAGATTTTGTGAGAGATATGTTTGATCCTCTTTTGTAATCAGCAAATGATCTTACTTTATAAATAATATTCTTCCCTTTTGTAAGTCTTTTCATAACTAAGTATTAATAGAAATTACTGTTGATTACTTGATAATTGTTAACAATGTTTAAATTTAATATTTACCTTTTGATGCCTGATCAGGATCCTTTAAAGCAACAAAAGCTGATGTGTCATCTATCCATGAGATTTGTATGTGTCCTTTATATATAGACATATGAAAAACACTTATTTTATAACATAAAATCTGAATTTATATAAATATAGTAATATTAAGATAATTAAAAATGATATAATAAAACTAATTTGTAAATAATTTAACTATAGTTTGTTTTAAATTTCCTGAAATAAAAATTTTAAATATCAAGTAAAATAAAATAAAGTAATAAATCCTGAAAGCATCATCAACTAAATAAAATCAATATGAAATGGTTTTAAATATTAATAAAATTTAAATTTAAAATTATTTCATATTGATTTCATCATCTCTAGAGGAAAAAATTGTACATCATATTACAGCAAATGCAAATATGTCATTATATAAGACTATTGGCTTAACTTTATTTCATATTCATTATACTTTTTTTCTTTGTAGCATATTCATTCATTCATACACACTTGTTACTAAAGTTAGAGATTTCTAATCTGACCAAAATATTCAGCCCCATCTGTGGGCTCTTTCTAGATAAACTGATCAATCTACAGCTAACATTAAGCATCCTTTTTGAAGTCCCATTCTGTTCACTAATCTGAACAAAGGGTATTTTTGTCCCAGTTTGCATAATTTTTATTTAGTTTTGTTTATCAAGTATACAGTATTTAATAAGTGTAGCAAATAGATTCATTTGCAAACATTGTCCTTAACTTTGGGAAACACTACACTAAATGTAGTTGCATTTGCAGCATAGTTTTGTGCAGTCTCTAACCTGAAGCTCAATGAGATTGATTAGGCTTTGTCAAATAAGCACATGCTTATTCCAGTATATTGCTATATAGCACTACAGTATAATACTGTAATCAAGATAATGTACAGTAAATTCATTACATATGTTGGTACTGTACTGTACTTAACATATTAAATATTTTCTAAATGTGTAACTACTTTTATAAAATTAATTTATTCAGTGATAATTAGAGAAATTTTAGACAAACTAAAACATATTTATGAAAAATCAGGACATAAATACACAGTACAGTATTGTACATAATAAAAAAAAACAAAAATAAAATTTCATATCATTTGGAAATCATAAGAAAAAAATTCATACTAAGCAGAAATGAAATCAAAAAACATCCTACAGCCAAAACTAAGCTATGTTTGTTAAATGTAATATGCTTTGTTGTGGATGCATGGTAAGAAATTTCTTCAGAAATAGTTATATTAATTGTTGGAATCATATCACACTTATCATAAGTATAATTGATTCTGTTCAGATAATGAAGAGATAAGTCTTCAAGAAAGCATTAACAAACAATCAAAACCAGTAAATGAAAATGAATATTTAAACGTTGATGAAGAACATATTGTTGAAAAAATATTCAATGTATAACAAAAGATCATAAAAAAGGATATTGTAGCACTTCAGAAAATGCTACAATATCCTTCACAACAACAAACCAGCATAACACAATTTTTTTCAATACAATACAATAACAAATGTACCTAAATGTTTATTAATTATTCAGAGCTTTGTTACATTGAAAAATAATGTAATAAAGGAATAAAATCAAATCATGTTACATAAAAATGAGTTATTTTCAAAAAATTGTAAAAAAAAAAAATGCATTTTGAAAAACACTCCTGACTCTCTTTTCTGACTGTCCAAAATCACAGTTCCAAGTTGGTCAGATTAGAGAACTCTAATTGTACTACATTTGACATAGTTTCAGAAAATGACTGCTTATTTTATTGATCATTTTTATGATTCAACTATTGTTTAAGTATTTTCTTACCAATGGCAATTCAAATTATTAAAATTTGTCTAGTTATTTCAATAATATTTTCAAAATTTTTATTTTCTGTCTTAAGATTATCTTATGACAAAAAAAAAATTATTTAATTTTAATCCTATTGTTACTTTTTATCATTGTGCAAGTCACTAGAATGTAGGAAATAAAACCCTGAAACATTTTCAAATAAATTATATTTCCTTAAATTTTGATAATTTGAGCTCATTATTTGAAAGTAAGAGAATAGTTTTTTCCAGATATTATTGTTATTCTTCTGTGCTTTTAATTTTTTTTTTTTCTAGGATACAGATAATTTTACCATTAGATTCAATACACTTTTTAAATATTAAAATCATTCATAAAATTAAATATGTTATACATTACATTACTAATATTAAATTTTATCAAAATTCTTACCAAATGGGAAAAATAATTCACGAAGATCACAATGGTTCCATTCTCTTGGAAAACTTACATGGAATACATTGTACCTATCTGGCATTACTATAGATAAAAAAAGGATTTTTATTAAAATGTCTATATCATTATAAAATTAAAAATGTAGCTAAATAAAATTACCAAAAATAAATAATAAATAGATAAATAATTTAATCAGTTTTTGCTGTTTTAGCTATAATTATAAAACTTCCTGAAAAAATCTTTTATACAAAGGGAAAAAAAATCAAAATAAATAAATTTCTTTACATTCTAAAATAACATTTTTCTAAATAATCACTCTAAACTTTAATACACTTTCTCTAAAGATTTCTCCAGTTCAGGAAATATTTTGAAAAAATAACTTCTTTCAGCACTTGAAAAATTTTCTTTGATTCATCTTGTGTGAGTTCTGTTAATTCAATTTTTTTTTTCCATCTCTGAATAAAGAAAGTCTTTAGGATCTAAACTGAAGAATTGAATGGTTATAGAAGAATAACAGTTCCATGTTTTGCCAGATAAGTAATAATTGCAACATCTATGTGTTTCCTGGCATCTTCACTACATACAGTCCTTTTTATCTTTAAACCTTCTTATTCTTAATTTCCAATTATAATATATTAAAATGGCTTTTATGCTTCTAATGTCATTAATTTTCATACAAAAATAATCCTATATTATCATCAATCCTTTGGCTATTTCCAAATTTTGTTCTTAGCACATTCTTTTACAAAACAATCATACATAAATTATTTAAAAACTACTATGCATTTTAAACTACTGTATTTACTCACGTATAAGACAATCTCGCATATAGGATGAGGTGTGACTTTAATGATCAAAATAAAGAAAATTAAATTTATTAACACAATTCTAAATTTATTTCATTTAATCATAAATAGAATATTATCAAATGCGCATATTAAGGCAAACAACCATGTTTTCTCGATGCTATCACCTTTTATCTACTTGGACTCAACCTCCAAAGCTTTGTTACAACACTCCTCTTTTACACTCTCACTCCACAAAGCATTGTTCTTTGATCCACTGAGTGAATATGAAATGCAGTATTTCTTGAATGACTGCTATCAGCTCTTGAGGAATGCTTTTCCATACACCTGATATCCATGTAGCAAAACCAAAAGATTATAATGCGCATGACTGGAAAAAGTTTATTTTTAATGATTCAAAATGTGCAAATGTTCATTAAAAATACCAATCTAACAAATATGAAATAATTACATTTATAATCATTGCCAAGTAACCAGCTATTTTTGGATCATCTCTTTGAAAGCAACATTCATCTTAACCTCAATAGCACTCTGCTATGATGGTAGCATGGCTCACAAAAATTATTGTAAAAATGCAAAGAATCCTTTGCTTGCGCATATAGGATGATCTAGGTTTTTGAAGCAGTGAAAATGAATTAAAACCTCGTCTTATATGCGAGTAAATATGATATTCAACAATTTTTAAATGGATACTCTCTTAAACACACTGTCTTAAACAAACAAAGTCTCTATTCCCAGGAGTGTCTTCAAAACTAAAATTCTCCTATACTAGAAACTAAAAATTTTTAATGATAAATAATCAATAAAAGAATATCAGTTTGTCTATTCCACAAATAGCCTCTAAAGAATTATCAGATCTTTCAAAAGTTTAAAATGGCAATAAATTTTAAAGTGTCAACTAGGATAATTATAATTATTGCAAAATTTGGCATACAGCCATTATTTAATCAGATAATTCTATTTGAATACATAAAATTTTGTCAATGAGCATGTATTAAATTTTTACACAAATTAATTTTTCAAAAAATTTCTAATTTTTAATATTAAATAAAAATTTAAAATATATTTACAGTCTTCTCCATCTAAATTAAAATAGGGAATATCTTGGCTCATCATTAAAAATCCTCTGCAATTTACAAAAAAGACATAAATTAATAATAAATTATAACACATTTTACAAGAGTATAAATTATTTCTTTGAAATAAAAACTAAAATATGTATAAAAATATTACTAATAATAATGATAAATCACAATATTTTCTGAAATAATGAGTTAATTTATAAAATTAAATTTCAGATAATTTATAACTTTTGACTTTATTAATAGATTAATTGCATTAAATAATAAAATTAAAATGTAAAGAGATTTGTCTATAAATTCAGTCATACACAATAAAGCAAAAATGGTCTTAGTTTTACATCAATCTACACCAAAAATAATAGAAAACTTATAAGTTTAAAACTTATTAATTAAAAAAGACTTTTCCTTGTATATGATTAATATATCAAGGTATATTAGTCAGACGGGAAACTAATTAAGATTAATGAAGAAAATATATACTATATAAATGAACTAAAATTGAATAAATTAATTAAAAACAATAAATGTGCATTTTAGAAACTAATGCAGCTTTCCTTTATTTTTTTAATTTTACTTAAATTTCAATAAAATAATATTATTACTAATTGTTTGATTTTATTAATTAGATTATTTTTAAACTATCCTATTCACATTTGTTACAATTGAAGATGATTCAATGAAATAGTATTGGTAGTAGTTTCCAAGAACTATAATACTATATTTCTGTACATTTCCTACATTTTTCTATTATATTACAGTGTACTTGCTTCATTATATAATTATACAAGATTTTAATGAGCTAACTAAGATACATAAATAATAAAAAAAATCTTATTTTGACTACTATTTTTTCAGTATAATATTTTTAATACTTTATAATTTTTTCAAATACAGCTCTCCCTTGATAGTCTGACAGGTATGGGACCAAAGGGGTGTTGGATTACCAAAAGTGTCCGGATTACTGAAAATAATTACATATTTTGCATTGTTTTGCTAGCAGTAGCTTACAATATTCCCTACTTCAACTGTTCAAACAGAACTGCTCACAGAAAACACACATAATGTATGTCATCGTGCAAGAATTGAATGGAAAGATTCATGTCGTGACAGGCTTCTGTGCAAGCAGACACATAATGGGGACGGGTACCTTGACGGAAGGTGCGTCGGACTACTGAGCATGTCGGATTAAAAAACGTCAGACTACCAAGGGAGAGCTGTATATATAATTATATTATACATAATTTACTAGTTTAACTTATTAAATGGTGTTTATCATCTAGTATATTTGAAATATATAATATAAACCTATATAGTACAATAATTTTGTACAGACAACCAATATCAGCATAAAACCTGCACCAGACAACCCAAAAGAAAACTACTTAAACAGAAATAAAACCTTTGCAATATATTATATATCCAATGTTTTCATCATACTAGGACATTTAAAGCACAACTTACTAATATTCAAGAAGGCTCATTTCAAATATAATAACAATTTTTTTAATGTTTTTTAACAGAACAATTCATCATAGACAGAGCCGTAACTAAGCAGGTGCAACACATGCACCTGCACAGGGCCCACTTGGAAGGGGGGCCCAAACTGCTGTTCACAAGAAATTATATTTTTACATTTTAAATTTTTCCGCCTTTCCACAGCGCAGTTTGGTGGTTACATTTTGCCTTACTTAGATCCTAGATGTCTGCTCACCAGTGTTCCCAACTGTGGCGACTTTTAGAGGGACGTAGTGAGGTAGCGGAGACCTCAGACAAATCAGCCAAAAGTAGCGACTTTTGAGATTTTTTAATTTATTTTTTGACAAATTTAAATTTATGTTTATAGTTTTCAAATTTATAGATTTTTCTCTACTTTATAGAGCTCTCTGGCAACTAGTAGTATTATTATGATATACAAAACTGTATTTCTAGATTTTTCTACAGNTAGTCATCAGAAACCCTACTGAAGAGGCCTTGACAGGCGAAATGCATTTGGGGTGAAGTATATATTTATATAGAAATAAAATTATATTTTCTTTGTTAACCTGTTTACCTTTTTTAATTTTTTATACCAGTCTACGGACTCGGGACTTATTAAGCCTCCAAAGGTCAGAAACGAATGGAAAACTAGTAGTTTTCCGTGTACTAAAGATTAGTACAGTACGGTAATAATAATAAAAAAATAATGGAATTAGATAAAACACCAAATGAAGGAAGTAACTTGACACCCGAAAAATTATTTCAAATACAAATTTCAAATACAAATTTGTTCTTGACATTCTATTGTGTCAAATAGATTGGCATTATGGAAAAATGAAGACTATCTGTGATGATTTTTGCTTTCTCTGTGGCTCATCTTTACAATACATGAGTGTTGTTGATTTAAAAAAATGGCTGCAGATCTTGCTATTAAATATAGCAAAGATTTAAAAAAGTACGAATTTACAAGTGAAATTGAAAGTTTTAATTTTGAAGTAACGACTCTTATACAAAATATAGAAACTGCATCTCCGCTTAATATTCTACAGGTTCTTCATTATTTTGGTTTTAATTGAATCTTACCCAATATCAATGTCAATATCAATGTCGCTCTTCGAATATTTCTAACTCTTCCCGTTTCTATTGCTCCGTGCGAGAGAAGTTTTAGCAAGTTAAACTTAATAAAAAATTATTTAAGATCAACTAACGGACAAGAACGAGTATCCAATATTTCTATTATTTCAATAGAATACAATGTCGTTAAAAATATTAATTATGAAGGTATAATTAATGAATTTGCTGAAATGAAAGCCAGAAAAATTTAATTAAAATAAACTTATTAAAAATCTATTGTAATGTACACTACAGTAGACCCTCCTATAATGCAGATTCATATATCGCGGTGAAAAATTGCGACAGTATTCGTATAGAGACGCTAAAAGAGACTCGTAAAATGTGGTAAAACGTCATCGCTGACTCGTGTTGCAACAGGATTGGTCGAATCTTGACCAATAGTGGACGGGCAGCTGAACTACTTACACGCAACGGAGAGTTTAGGTGGGTAAGTTGAGTTTACTATCGTCTGTACAGTATTAGGTACTGTAAGTCTAATACAATACTGTAATTTTATACATTTCTTGTGAAAAAAACATTTCTTATTCAACGGCCATAAAAATTATTTCTATTAATGATGTCTCCAAAGTTCAGCAAATTTTTTGCAGAAAAATAACTTACTAGAAAATGCGCCCGCTGTTTGGTGCGCTGCTCCGCGACAAAAACAAGCTTAAGCAATGGCGTCATCGAACGGTGCACACTCGGTAAGTAATCCTACAATTTTTTGTTTATAGCATAGTTTATACGGATTATTCCCAAAAAATTATACGTGTTTTGGAAATGTTGAGTCAAATTAAACGTTGAGAATCGATTAATTTTATGGAAGAAAGCCTTTCAAACAGCCGTAGTCCGTAAACTGCACACGTGCCGGGCTGTGATTGGCTCATGTATTTAAGGATTCCTACAACTCGAGATTCTTATAAAGTGGAACGTATCTACCGCGTTATGGGGGTCGACTGTATTTGTTTTATTATTTTCCCAAAACCAAATAAATTAAGGGACCTAAATGCAAATTCTTGCACAGGGCACAGGAATGGCTAGTTACGGCTCTGATCATAGATATAATTATAATATAAGCCCTCTTAGTTAAAAAAGTTACACTTAACAGTTCAACATTAAAAACTTATCTTAACTTAAAGTTTTTAAGATTTCATTCTTTAATTTTCAAACAAGCTTATCAACTTGACTTACATTAGCTCTTTGCTATAAAATCTGAAAATAAAATGAAAGAAATTAAATGGAATTTTGAGACAACACTTTCTTAATTGCACATGTCACTGTGGAAATTTGAAGGGTTTATTTTCATCCTAGTGATTTTTTGCAGGGTCTATGCCAATTTAATTATATACTGCTATGGTTTATCCACATGCAATTATGAGAAATTCTTTAATCATTTTTGGTTAGTAATTTTTTGTTAGTAATTTTTTTATATCAAAAATCAACTACTATAAATTAAAACTAGACAAATATAGAAACATACAATTAAAACTTACTTATTTATATAAGGTGTCACAGATGAAAAACCAGGAAAAATAGATTTATCTGATGAAAGAGAACCTAAAAAAATTTTTGAGTTAAAATTTTAATTATATATTATACAATTTTTAAATTCATAGAATACTTTCAGTTAAAAAAAAAAAAAAACACACATACACAATATCATAGCATATGATCTGTTCCAAAAATATTTTTAATCTTTCAAACAGATAGTAGGTAGTAAGTAAAAAAAGCATTTGTAGGGTGAAGGAAATCATCAATAAAGATGTACTGTACATAATTAAATGTATTCATTCAGTTCTTAATGAAATGAAAGAGATATTTTACAGTAAAAAAATATTAACTGATATAATAATTTTATTATAAGAATTATTTTTATGTTTTGATTCTATAAATTAGGAAAATTATTTTAATTATAGCATTAATGGTGTTTTTAAGTTTTTCGTTTGTAATATATAACAAAATTAGCATGTTAACAGAAATATGAATTTGATGATTATAGAATTATTTAAAAATTATACATTAAAATTAAAATTTATGTAAATTAAGAAAGCAAACATTTACACTAATAAATTCCTTTTAAGAAAATTCAATATAATTTATATATATAAATAACCAAACCCAAACTTCTATATTAATTCAATTAATTAATATAGAAGTTTGAGTATATAATATAGAAGTTAATAATGTACAGTATTAATGATAGGCATTAGTGTATTTCCTTTGGATTCCTAGGTAGATACTTTCAAAATATATTACATTTTGAATTAAATTTAATAATTTATAACATTCTGGAAAAAAAGATCAGTTAAGAATAGGACTCAAACTTACAACTTCTGCTTACTGTGCATATGCATTACCAATTACTGAACCTCTATCCACTGTAGACTAAATTAATTGGTTTGGAAGTGAAGATCAACCAATGTCTAGGTAGAATGACTAATAATACATCTACATGATAAGCAGCTGTAAATTTTACTTCCATTTCAGGTTGATCTTTTCTTTTAGAATATTCTAATTACATTTAATTTAAAATCTATTATATTTAAATTAATTATTAATGTTAATATATGATGATATAGCTGCCTACCTTTAGTATATATTCCTTTGGATAAATGATTTACAATTAGTCAAGTTTAAGCCAAAATAATATGATGTTAAATGATTTGAACAATATAATTTTTTTATTTTAGAATGACTTTTGAAATTTTATATTAAAAAGAAAATTAAGTATCATAATCTAGTCTACTGAAGTTATAAAATTTAAATATTTACAGAATTACAATAGATTTCATTAATTAATTGAACTATATATATAAAATCAAATGATTAAAGATACTTGCAACATAAATTATATTCATAGCATATTTTATATAGATCTAATGTAAATGAGAAATGAAAATTTATAACAAAATAAATTGATAAGGAATACATACTGAATATTTAGCTCAATTTTTATTTTATTTATTGATCTTATCTTGTCTTTGCTAATAATTTTTGTTCCAAAAGTCTAAAAATACTTTTACTCCTAATTCTGAAGGAATATCTTACACTGAAATAAAACATTTTTATCCACTTATTCAATAAAGATAAATTTAAGTTAAAGTTAAAAAATTCTATTAGAAGACAATATCTCATTCATATCTTTTAGTACATAGAGAATTTCAATATTCAGAATATATTGAAGGATTTATTTGAAAATTGAAAAGTTTGAGAACTTTTTAAACTTATTCAAACTTTTAAAAATGAGAATTTTGAATAAACATATTTTGGGTTCTCCTAGGTCAAATTATATTCTTGTTATTTGTGTGTTTCTTCCTTCATGGAGTTCTTGTAATTAACACACTAATGTGAGATCCGCGATTTTTATGCAGATGTCGGGGAAAAAACCTTTGTAAACAACTCCGATGAAAAAAATACTCTTGGTGAGAATTATATCGGAGGTCACAGTTTGTTTTACAATTAGGTGGGAAAGTTGACACTTAGTTGATTGGAATGCACCGTAAGTGTCAACAGAAGTCAATCACGTGACTCCTTTCTCACGAAGAACATATAAAAGCTTGAGCCCCCTGGAAGCTCAGGGTGTGACCAAAGGAAGTTATACTTATTAATGTGTGCATCTTGTCTCCATACACTGGACACAGCGACCAAAAGGACATCGCCATACGACAGACCACAACTTCGAACTTCCATCATTCTCGCCAAAATGACAGTTCCTGCACTGACTATGACTTCGACGGCCCATTCAACAAACGCATATTAGTCCTATCCTCATAGAGGCATTTGTATTTTAGAGCTTTGTGAACTCTCTCTCTCAGAATAGCCATTAGAGCTGTTAAGAGTGGCCCTTTGTATAGTTACCTAAATTTAACCGCATTTAACCTATATATATTGTTATTGCCTCATGTATCCTAGCTTAGTTATTCAATAAATGTTTTGTTATTTTATTTAACCTGTCGTCTATCATTATACTTGCTGAATTACCAACGCCATCCCCACTCAATTTGCCCTCCTAAGCCATCCAACAATCAGAGATTGGGTTTTACCAACCTGTTGCAGTGTAAGTGGTCAGAAAGGATTAACCCCTGACCCTCTGCTTATCTCACACTAAGATTTATGCTTTACATATAAAGTAAGACTCCTCTTAATGCTGATTCAATATAATGTGGTCTGCTCAAAGCCTAACAAAATAAAAAAAGCTCAAAATTTACGCTGATTCAAATTATCATGGCATTTCATTGATTCATATATAATAATGATTGTTGATTATTAAATATGATTATTCCCAAACACAAACAAATCAGTAAAAGGTGGCAATTTGTCATAGCACTGTACTTTCCTTAAATTTATGTTTGGTGCAATTTTGGAAAAAATATAACATCATGGATGCCATAAACAATATTGACTTCACTTGGCAAAAATTAACTGATAAATGCATCAACAAAGTGTGGAAGAAGTTATGGCTGAAGGTATCCAAGAATTCTCAATGAGAAGAGCCTATCACTGTATTGTTAGGTTGACCAAATTCAGCAGGACTAGGAGATGTAGATGAGCAGGATATTGAGGAGTTACTACAGGTTTTTGGCGAGAGTCTCACCAAAGATGACTTTCAAGAACTGGCAAAACAAAGAATTCATGGAGAACTGAAAAACAGTGATTCTGAAAGCAAAGAACCCAAAGAATTTCTTTTACAGATTTCCTCAGCAAAAGTTTGGTAACAATAACTGAAATCATTGATCAAATTATAGTGAATGATCCAGATTTTGAAAGGAGTGCATAAGCAAGACAAGGTGTTTTGGATGCGATCTCTTGCTACCAACATTTGCTTAAGGAAAGAAAAAAGTGACAAATGAAACTACACAACTTTATCGCAAAAAACAAGAATTTCAGAAGAGCCAGGACCTTCATCACAAAAAATGAACTTTACATTTCTGTGTGCATATGTTTGTGTGTTATTTAACATATGTTATTATACAAATTAATAAAAAAATAACTTAAAATTAAAATAAAATCTGTTTATTTTTGGCTGTGTGTTCCCCTTTCCCTATTAACTCTGTGTTAAAATGACATCATTTAACTCTGTTTCATTTAGTGCTTTGTTGTCTAGAAATGTATCCCTCGAATTAAGCGGAGTCTTACTGTATTCAAAATAAAATTAATTTGAATAAATAATATTAGGAATACAAGTTTTCAAATACAAATAAAGTTTGTATTTTAAGCCCTATAATAATTTTATAGATATAAAATTATTATAGGGCTTTAATCTAAGTTAGAAAGAATTATTAGCATATTACAAAACATTCAATTACTTTAAAATTTCATTATATTTTCCAGTTACTCATTCAAATTATAAAATATTACTTACTTAAATGTTGGCACATTCCAATTAAACAAACTCCTGTAATGAATGCATCATAACCAGCTTCATGAAGTAATTGATCTGATAAATTATATTTTTCAAATCCTGCTGCTGCTTCTAATATATAATTTACTTGATATGAATAGGTATATTTCTCAAAAATATAAATAATAAAATTCAATATATAATATAGTTTCTTGAAAAATAAATAAATATACAAAATATGATAAAAAATATTGAGAATGTGGCATAAGTAGAGAATAACATAGCCTGAAGCAATTAGGTACAAAGTAACCTTGAAGTGTCTTTTGGATGTATGTACAACAAGTCATTTTTTCCTGCTTGCTTTGTTTTTTATAATTGTGCATTATTTCTATCTGTAAGAACATCATGTGTTGCATTAGTTATAACAAAAATCAAGTAACAAATTTGCCAATAAGGCAAATTTGTTACTTGATTTTTAGTTGAATAACTTGGCAAATCATTCAAAGAAACATATAAGAAAAAAAAATATATGGAAAACTAAGACCCAGTCCAAACAGTGAAAAGATATCAAGCATTCCTAGACCCAAAAAAAGGAAGACAGAGTTGTAGCTATGCGAAGGTGATGTGTATAGTTTTTTCAACCATGCAGAATCATGCATCATGAACATGCTTCAGCAGTACAGACAATCAGTAAAAAGTATTATTGTGAGGTTTTGCAGTGATTAAGATATAATTCATCACAAAAGGATGGCATTACACAAGAACAGTGACTGGCAACTTCACTACAACAGCAGTTCTGCCTATTCATCACAAAATGTTCATCATTCCTTGATTAACACAACATTCCACAGGTCCAGCACCCACCTTATTCTCTAGACTTAGCCCCCAGTGCCAATAGTTTTAGTAAAAATAAAAAAGAGCAGCTCCTCTTCCCTTTTTTATTCTCATTGAAATCAAACTCTAGCTAAAAGGAAAAAGATTTCAGGATGTTCAAAGATACAAGACAGTTGCTCACTATTTTAGAATATTTCAAAACTTGCTTCTAGAAGTGGAAAGAACACTGAGCTAATAAGTCATTTAGAAAGGGACTATTCTGAAGGACTTTAGGTTAGCAATTTAATATTCAAGTAAGTTTTCATGTAGTAAATTCATACTCAATACTTCTTGATCACACCACATATAATAGTACTGCTTAAAAACTAATCCACTTTAATTTGAATATTAATCATTTTAACAATAAAATGTCCATTCCAATGTTTCAAACATTGTCACTAATAAGAAAACAGAATAGAGTAATTTTTTTTATTAGAATGTCAAACATAAACTTGTTCCATTTTTTGTTGTTGTAAATGAAAGAATTTTTGGCACTTTCTATAATTTAAATATATTTTTAAATTCTTTGTTTAATTCTTAAGTATTATTTTCTTAGAAACCAAATTTCTGCTCTCATCTTTCATTTTAGATTTATGAAGTAGAGAATGAAAGAATATCTGTTATGTTTTTGAAATTATCTTTACAATTTTGTATTTATTTGATATAACAAATGAATTTAGTTTATAATTCTGAAAGAAATCTTGAAAACTGATTAAAATTGTTTGGTGTTTTCTAAAACATTACAACAATATTACAAAACTAACATTTACAGAAATTAAATGTTACTATACAAACAATACAAAACAAATATACGAGGTATACCCAATGAATATATAACTTTTCAAAAATTTGAATTTTGAGTTTGATAAATGAATATAGAATTATCCCATGCAAGAAAAAAATTTTCTTTATGTTGCTAGTTAATGCTTTATTTGGATTTTTTACATTGTATAGAAATAATGTGCTAATTGATTCTAATCTATAACATCCTAGTTCTGGTATCTGCTGTAATTATTACTTGCATATAAAAGAATGGCATAGCTTTCTACTTTTTCACGTAAATTTGTGATACTGCTGTCATTAAACAAGTTTCTGAAATAACTGGTATGCTAAATATTACTAAATTATAGTTATATTGCTTATTTAATTCACTAATCCAAAATATCTGCACTAAAATATAAGCTGGAATATGAATTTCATCTTTATTTCAAATGTGTTTTGTAAAATAACAGAACTAATCATTTGATAACTTGTTCCTTAAATAGGAACAATTCTTTTTTAGAATATTCTATCAATTACTAAATAATGTTAACTTCTGTTTTGTAAAAAGAGAAAAATTCTACATATTGCTATGACAGCAGCTTCTTAAAAAGTTCCAACTGGAAAGAAAAATTGAATAAAACTTGGGATAGAAAGTTAAACTTGTTACAAAATTTCAGCTATTTTAATGAAAATTTTCAGATTATCCAAATGATAAGTTGACAGTCCAGTTAGTTTATATATACTGTAGACTTCTTAAATTGTAAAAATTAATGAATCTGTAATCAGTGCAAAAGTACTTGACAAAAAAATCTCAACATCTAATACATTCTTAATGATGAATATGTATCATTCATATAATATAATACAGAAAAACAAAAGAAAAGAAAAGAAAAATTAGGTTTAGTGAATTTAAAGCATTATCTAAATTAAATTCAACCAAATTTATTATAACATCAGTAAAAAAAATAAAAATTTCATCAGAAACCATGAATGTAAATATATTGTCACTAAATTATGAATTACTAGCTGTACCTGGCCACATGTTGCTGTGGCTCAAAATGTATCTACAGTAGAGCGGCGATTATCCGAATCAATTGAGGACTGGGGTTGTTCGGAAAAGTGATATTTCAGATAACCAATTATGTATGAAAAAATATATTAACCTATCCCATGTTGAAATTTTTCTCCATTGCGTGTTGCTTCGCGTTGAATTTTGTTAAGGTTAAGCCTAACGTAGACTATTGTATCGTTAAAAATTATTTTTTTATTTTGTATAAGCAAAATAAATATATTGAAAAATATAAGAACAATAAAAAATTATACTTCAGAAGTTAATTTAGTATCAAAAACGTAAAATATTTGAGTAGCCCAAGACATAGCCAAAGATTGCAGCGCCATAGCACTGGTGAAAATTTAAATTTGCCGACTGGAATTCTTTCAGATAATTGACGTTTCAGATAATCGACGCTCTACTGTATTATAAATATATAACTCCCCATGGGAGGTAATTTTTCAAAATCCCTTCTTACTGTACATTCTCTTGACATACCCTATTAAAACGAAATCAAAAACACAAAAAAACCACATCTAAAATAGTATAATAGAAAACAAGTTCTTCACGGCAAGCCTTAGTCCTGTCCCTCTCCCCCGCAGGGGGAATTTAGACATCTATATAATATAAAAACAAGCGCGTATTTGAATGCAACATTGTGTCAAAATTTCAAAGCAATTGGTTAAGAGCTTTCAGAGATTTAAGATTTTGAACAAACGAACATTTACATTTTTATTTATATAGATTGTTATTCATAATTATTAATTCATTGTTAATTCTAATGCAGTAAATAATGCTAAAATTTATTTTATTATATATGTTTTTAATTGTGTTCATTTCTGAATTATTTGAAATACAGTGGTATCTCATACTTCAAATGCTAAATTTGACAAAAATTTGCCTGAGTTCAAATGATGCTTTAAAGTTTGAAATGTATGTGTAGTGAAAAATGCACTCAAAGCATAAGCAATCTGTTGTGCACACAAGTCATCTTTCACTCTTGCATTATGCTCATATGTTTTCAGTGCTTTTTTTGTTTTATTTTTGGTGTGTTTGGTTACATATATTGTGTTATTCATTGATTTTTAACAATTTATCCTGTAATTTTTCTTCATCAACAGCTTTTGGGTGCCCTGTACATTTTCTATCCTTAGTTTAAAATTTCCAGAACAGAATTTTTTAAACTACATTTGAAGTTTAAAAGCATCTTCCCTATACACATTACAAAATTTTTTTTACTGTTTGTATGACATTATATCCTGTCATAAAGCACTCATAAAGCATAATATGCCTGATATGCTTTTTAGCTGAAGACATTTTGACTTATTTTATTCAAACAAGATGTGAAGTTTAAAATAAGCTTATAACAAAGAATACAATCCAGATTAGCAATAAGCTGTTGAATAATTATTATAATTAAATCATACATCTATGTTAAGTAATGACAGCTGTTAAAAATACATAAAAAGTTTCCATTCAATCCAATATAATTCTTATAATTTATAATTTTAATTTTTCAAATGGCATGGTTAATTAAATTTAATTTGAGAAGTGTGGAAAGCAACAAATTCTAAGAGGAAGGTAGTGAGTGATATTGATGATTGAGATGAAAAAGGAACTTATCACAAAACATGAATTCAGTATATGTCGTAGATCTGGCGGCCATGTTTAAGATGTCAAAGTCAACAGTGTGCATCTAGTAAATGCAATTATCAGTCTGTTATGCAGTATTTTATTTATTGTTTTCATGTTTTAATTTGTTATTAGGACATTTAATTATGTTATTTTCACTTTAAATTATGTGCATTTGCTGTTTAAGCTTATCAAAATTGGTATTATTTAGGGTCTGGAAATGGATTAGTTAACTTTCCATTATTTCTAATGGGAAAAATTGATTCATACTTCAAACAATTCAGAGTTCAAATGTTCGAACAGCCTCCTGGAATAAATTAAATTCAAAGTATGAGACACCACTTCATACTGTTTATTTTGGATTGTTTGTAAAAACTTTCCTGAAAAAATATAAATGAATGCAATAAAAATGCTTTATTTATTTAATTTAAAATATATGTTTTCCACCTCAAATTAGTAGTGTCTTGCCCATGTACTGTACATCATACTTTTCCATTAGCAATAGACTTTGTCTTAGAATATGCAGGCCAATTTTTGAGACCAGAAAAGTCCAAAAGCGATGCACATTAGAATCAAGAAAAACAGTATTTCTCAAACTATCATAACATTAAAAAAATATTCTATTTTAAATTACTTAGTTAATTCCTATCAGACATTAATAAACAATCATTTCATACATATTTAATAATTCAAACATAACAGATACAAAAACTATAGATTCACAAGTAAAAAATTACTTCAAAACTCATCTTTTTTTAGTTTAATTAAACCATTATTAAATTATTACTTAATCACACTTAATATAGTATTACATATATTATATTAAATTACATATACCATAATCATTTTCTTATTACATTATATTTAATTAATTTTATATAGTAAATATATTGAAAATTTAGATATATGCAATAGTAATACACAATGGTTATATTTTAATATAACATAAAATTTAGTAAATAAATTATAGTCAATATTTAACACTAAAAGATATATAAATTGAGATATAACAGTGAGGAAAAATTTGTATAATAAGTATTGATATTAAAATTAAAATTTACCAATTTCTGGAAGCTTGAAAGGATCTTTTAGAAGAATATTTAACAAATTACTCAAGGTACTATTATTGATGGAATCCTTGAAAAAAATAATAAAATATACAAAAATTTTAAACAACAAACAGTGCTTTAAATTAAAATGTTTCACTATATTGATTAATTTTTGAATCATATAAATCTAAGTTTTGCTATTTTTAAATTTATTTGTAAAAAAATTTATTAAAAAAAATTATTTATTTTTGGTACTTCTGAAAACAAATCGATGCTTACAGTAGGTAGTAAAAAAAAAGAAAAAAGTAAATTGTGTCTCAAATCAAAAATATTTCACATTTAAAACAACAGAATAGAAATAAAGATTTATGAAATCAAGAGATTATAATCTATTAAACAAAGATGCACCAGTAATATAATACTGAGCAATAACTGCATATCTTTTGAATGTATCAGTCATAAATGCTAAAATATTACATTAAAAATTGCAAACAATCCAATTCTATTAATATGTATAATAAGTATATACATTATCAGTGTAATATGTTGATTAAATCATATTATGTTAAAAAAATTATAGAACTGAATCTAAACAAGAGAAAATTAAACCAACTGCTATAAGTTAAATGTAGCAGTTTTAATGCTAGATTACTTGGGAAATAAATCCACAAAATATGGAGAACAGTAACCCACAGAAAATTTTTTCTATCATACT